TCTAGAGGTTCGATAAGAAGGGATTTTTCGAAACTCGAATTCTAAGGGGGTGAAACCGCCCCTCAAATATTAGAATATTTCTTATTTAAAAAACGGTGAGTTTTTCGGAAAAACTCTTAAACACGTATATTTTATTTTGTTGTTTTACATATTTTAAGATTTTTTAGATATTTATATAGGGCGTTTCATAAAATATGACAATTGAGTAATCACGATCCTGCTTAAACTGCTTGACGTTTAAAGCTGATTTTTGGCAAACGGATTGACTGTGGGGTATAGAGGTTCGATAAGGAGGGGTTCCTCGAATCTCAAATTCCAAGAGGGTGAAAACGCCCCTCAAATATTACAATATTTGTTATTTAAAAAACAATTAGTCTTTCGAGAAAACGCTTGGACACGCATAATTTATTTTGTTTTTTACATATTTTGAAATTTTTTAAAAATTAATTGTGGTAATTGATTAACCACGATTCTGCTTAAACTGTTTGACATAAAAAGCTTATTTTTGTCAAACGGATTTTTCAAAAGTCAAATTCCAACGAGATGAAACTACCCCTCAAATATTACCAATTTATATAATAATATTGCCATATTGTTTTTTCTCATGCTGACATAAATGTGAGAAAATCTTATCCAGTTTGTATGGTCATGGAAATTCTTGCTTTACTGTATCATCACCATTACAAATGATTAATTCGATGCGAACGAAGACGCGGGTACACGCTAGTTTTAAATAAATTAATCTCTTGATTTCGCTAATGCTAAAATCGATGTTGGGAACTTTTAAACGCTCTCGAAAAGTATCTCGAAAACCGTTCACTGTTTTGAACTAAACGAAGAGCCCCTTTTTACATAAAAAGTCCTAGCTTTAATTTTCATTTATACACAAAGAATCTTATATCATTATTACACCTAACTTACCAAATGACATAGGCTTGCTTGCCCCACTCTTCGGTGAATGTCGCCCAGCAGTCATAGATACCACTAAAAACTTCTTGATACGAAAATATTGTCACCTATAATACAAATTCGTAAGAAGATTAAATAATATAATGAAAAATCAAAGCAAAAAAGTATACAGAGTGAAATTGTGGTTATAGTTTATTTGTTTATATGATAAAATGTAAATGAAACAAAAGAAATCCAATATAATATTTGGGAATTATATTTTATGTTTTTGCTACGCTCCACTATGGTTTCTAGAAGCTACTTTTTTGGCCAAAATTAAACAACTTACATTTAATGGAAAATATTGACTGTAAATTCAACGTGTGATTAACATTTACCTATGAAGCATCTTCTGTATCTAGTTCCAAAAAAGAAAGTTGATCAATCATCAAATTACTACTGTTCAAAAACAATCTTCTTTAGAAATATCTTCTTGCTCTTCTTCTTTTTGCATTTCTTCTTCTTCTTGCTCTTCCTCCTCGTATTCCTCTTCTTTTCCATGCTTCTCTTCAAATTGTTCTTCATTTAACTTCTTTTCGATAAAGTCAGGTACACGAAGTAATGGATAACTAAATTTACAAAGCAACCTGCACAAGTAAAGTATTTTGCAGCCTGCAAAAGTAAAGCCGAATCCTGCCTATGTTCCTCGGAAACTTTTGAGGCCGTTCTTCTCTGGGTTCTGGAAGATTGTTCCGAAAAAGGCAATCGTGGGCGGCCGGCAGATGATGTGGATGGAAGGGGTTCATTTAACTCAATGATAAAATCCTCCTTTAACCAGTCTTCATTTTGTTTTAAAAATAAATCTTTAAGCCGCGAAGCCGCCTGCCATCTTCTTTCAAAATTTATACAAAGGCGATTTATCTTTTTTCCATTGTGCCTGATAGTTCTCGTTCATTAACTTTTGAGCATTCTTTTCTGAAAAAATACGGCATAATTTACGAGGGGCATTTTTGATTTCGATAAAGTCCAAAATCAAAAATGCCCCTCGTAAATTATGCCGTATTTTTTCAGAAAAGAATGCTCAAAAGTTCAGCCACTTATGTAAAACAACCAACTGGGATACTAGCTCTTATGATGTCGACACCGAATTTTCTATTTTCGTAAAAACATTAACCAGTCTAGCGTTCAAATCCTTTCCTCTTATGCCTATAAAAAATAAGCATAATAAACCTTGGACCACTAAAGGTCTACTATAGTTCTACGCATATCTTCTTACTAAAGTTCTACGCATATCTTCTAAAAACATGCGTTCATTATCTCACTTAAAAAAATTCTCAGACAGTCTCTTCTTCCACAATTACGTAAAACTATACAGAAAAATTTATCATAAGACTATAAGAGCCGCTAAGGACCTTTATTATAATAGGAGAATAGTCAATTCTGGTAATGTTGCTAAGGAAACATGGTCTATTGTGAATGAGTTGAGAAACAAAGCTTTTCTTCGTCTAGCAATATCTCTACCTCGCCTGAGAACCTTAACGATTACTTTGTAAATGTAGCGAAAAACTTAACTAATACCATATGTCCTCCTCATGATCCACTTTCTTATCTCTCTAATGATAATGTAAACTTACACAGTTTCTTTTTTTCGCCCGTAGTTCTTGAAGAGCTTCGGAGTACAATTAATACCATCAAAAATAAATCCTCTTCTGGGACCGACGGGCTAACTTTAAAAATGTTTTCGAATCTGCCAGAAAGCACTCTGAATCACCTAACAACTTTAATAAACATGTCGTTCCAAAATGGTGTTTTTCCAAAATGTCTTAAGACGGCAATAATCATTCCTCTGCACAAAGGAGGAGACAAAGATGAAGCTTCTAACTATCGCCCAATTGCACTCCTTCCAACGCTATCTAAGATCATAGAAAGGTTGGTTAAAAGAAGGCTGGTATCTTTTCTGTTTAAGTACGAAATACTTACTGAATATCAATTTGGATTTCTAAGCAACAAGTCCACAAATGACGCTATGTTTTCCCTCCTTAATAAAGTTTACTCCAGCCTAAACAACCATCATTCTACAGCAACAATTTTCTGTGATTTTTCTAAGGCGTTCGATTGTTAATCATAAGATCTTAATTAATAAACTGCAGCACTATGGGTTCAGGGGATCATCTCTCGGATAGTTTAAGTCGTATCTGAGCAACAGAAGTCAACTTGTGAGGGTGGATACCACGTTGTCTTCTAGAAAGCCAATAGAATGTGGAGTACCACAAGGCTCAGTACTAGGCCCTGTTTTGTTTCTTCTTTTTATTAACGACATTGCTAACATAAACATCAGTGGCAAAATATGTCTTTTTGCGGACGACACTAGCTTCACTTGGAGCAACAAGGACATCGCGGCACTTCATAGGATTATATCAAATGACTTAATCACCATTAAATCTTGGTGCGATTCGAACCTCCTGAGTCTCAACATTTCTAAAACTAAGGCTTTGTCGTATAAAAACTCGTTGCAGCCTTTTGTACTTGACAACACCACCATTGACGTCGTAAAATCCGTAAAATTCTTAGGGCTTGTTGTGGACAATTCTCTGAAATGGGACATACATATCGAAGCTTTGTCGAAAAAATTGAGCTCTGCCTGTTTTGCATTAAGGTCTGTTTCTAAGGAGCTTAACTTGTCAGTGGCTAGAACTGTTTATTATGCACTTTTTGAGTCGCACCTCAGGTATGCCCTTCCATTCTGGGGTACGTGTTGTGCGGCTCAATTTGACCGCATTTTCAAGCTCCAGAAGAGAGCTGTTCGATATTCACTGGGACTAAACAGCAGAACTCATTGCCGGGGCTTTTTTAGAGAATTAAAAATATTGACTCTTCCTTCCTTATTTATATTTGAATCCGTTTGCCTAATACGTAAACATGTATCAGCTTCTCAAGAAAGGCCATCTCACACTTATCCACTCAGGAACGCGGAGCAAGATCTTTATCTACCTACCCCACGCTCAGAGTTAGTTAAAAGTTCAATATTATACAACTCGAAAAAAATGCACAATCACCTGCCATTTGAAATCAAATCCATAACATCATTTTTTTCATTTCGCAAAGCATTGAACTCTTATTTACTAGACAAGGCTTTCTACGCCGTAAATGAATTATATTTGAATTGAAAATCGAATTTGATCTTGAAAACACTGGTCTAATGTTTGCTATTGCTATATTTACTACACTGTTCATTAAAATGTTGTATCCTATGTTATAGGGCTTGTTTCTCTCTACAATTTCTTGTCTCACAATGTACCGTTTGTGTCCAGGAAGGGTTCATATTTTCATAGTTGTCGATTTTCGAAAGAAATCAGTACATTTATTTTATTTCGTATATTTTTCATTTTATTGATTTTATGGAAAGCACTGTTCATTAAAATGTTGTATCCTATATTATAGGGATTGTTTCTCTCTACAATTTCCTGTCTCACAATGTACCGTTTGTGTACAGGAAGGGTTCATAGTTTCATAGATGTCGATTTTCGAAAGAAATCAGAACATTTATTTTATTTCGTATATTTTTCATTTTATTGATTTTATGGAAAGCACTGTTCATTAAAAGGTTGTATCCTATGTTATAGGGCTTGTTTCTCGCTACAATTTCCTGTCTCACAATGTACCGTTTGTGTCCAGGAAGGGTTCATATTTTCATGGATGTCGATTTTCGAAAGAAATCGGTACATTTATTCTATTTCGTATATTTTTCATTTTATTGATTTTAATCGGGGTAATTTATTATTTCGTTTTGAGCCATTTCTGGCTCCAATTCAATCAGTAATCGACACGAAAGACAAAAGAGAATTAAAAAATATTGACATAATATTCACTCAAAACTGACAACTAAAGAGACAGCTTAATTTATTTGTCAAATTACATAGAAACCAACGCCAACCCAGCACAATATTTTTTCTATTCGTGATAAGTTCATTGAAATAATAATTTCTGAGTATTTTTTAAAACGTAACTCGGCTATGGAAAAAAATATTTTTTTTATACACGGCGATAAAATTGCATTATCGTCTTGTATAAAAAATACCTAAATACTAAATTAATAAATTAATATATTCTACCTGAGGTATACAAAACAATAAGCTTGCTAACCAAGCCATGTAAACCATAGCTTTCGATCTCCTAGATGTCCAAGAGCAGTAAGTTAATGGATAGCATATAGCTTGATGTCTATCCAGCGCTGTTGCCATAAGAATATATGAGCTGAGGTAGGGTCCAAGAATTTGGCCGTACTAAAAATAATAATTTTAAATATTATTCTTGTTTTTTTTTGTCTACTCCTATCATGTATATTAAATTAGATATACTATAAAAGCCGTACAAAATCTCCCGACTCTATTAATACAAATAAAATAGATCAAATAAATGTTGTTTTCTTATATTTCTTAAAATTTGGGACTTTAGACTAAGAATAATCCACCCAAGACATAATAAAATTTTATTGTTTCCATTTAATCTAAATTATATCAATGTGATTTTTTCTGAGATACTTTTTTATATAGATTTTTTCCTTAAAGAAATCAGTTTTTTCCTCTTTGCTTGTTTCTATATCTTTCAACTCGAGACTGCCTCTAATTTAGAAAATTGATTTTACGCATCCCACACCAATCTATACGTTTAATGAGGATCTTATAAAAATGTTTTGGGATATTTTTAAATCTTTTATAAGAAGAGTTTTCAAGAATAAATTCTTATTAATAAATTTCTAAATATTTATATTTATTTTATTTTACTTGGTTAATTAAAGGAACATAAAACTTTTTTTTTATGTGTCAAATTCAACGAGTGTAACTATAGTTTCTCGGCATATAATTACTTACAAGGTGTTATACTTTTTATATATATTTTTATATTATTTGCAACGCTTGAAATTGTTTAAAAAATTATTTGTGGACGTTTGAAAAAAATAGCATGTTCTATTTGGAGTAAAATTATCTTTTTGTTTCTCGCCTGTTGTGTCAAACGTACAGCCTTGTCACAAAAGGTATCATTTTTACTCCTAATAAAACAATATACTAGTATTTACTAGATATTATAAAAAAAAGGGGTTGCAGAAAAGACTCTTCTAAATTTGTCTATTTTTGTAGATTATTTAATTTTTGGAGTGATTTTTATTGGTAACTAGTGTTTTTTCACATTTATGAATACTACTTATGAAACCTATCAAAGATCACAGCATTTTTAACTTATGAATTATTTCTAAAAATAATTTAATAAATAATATTTTCTTGCCTTTAGCCGTGTATTTTTTTCTAATTTCGAAAAATCGAAAGTAGAGAAAAAATAAAAAGTAAAAAGAAAATTGTTTTGCTTGTCGTAAAGGGGGGAACCAAGCTCCACTCCCACAACCGGTTTCTGGGCCTACCCTTCATCAGGTGGGCTGTCCAGGGGCTGGTTCTCACCGATACGGCAAGCAAAACCTTTCCAATATCAATACACGATGTAGTAAAGTGTCGGTGAGATATTAGCGCATCTCCCGTCAAAAGATGGTAAAGAGCGTTTTTCGGCCCGCTTGGTTCCCCAGGGTCCTTTACGACAAGCAAAATAATTTTCTTTTTACTTTTTATTTTTTTCTCTCTTCTTTCGATTTTTCGAAATTAGAAAAAAATACACAGCTAAAGGCAAGAAAATATTATTTATTAATATACACTAAAGCTGTAAGAATTTTGTTAATTTCATAAAATAATTTATATTACACATTATATTTATATAAGTGAGCTTACTTTAACTAATTTACACAGAAGGAATCCTCCATAGAATCTGTATGTAATATCCCATGCTAATTGTGGAAGGACTGTAAAAAATGCTACCATCAAATCGGCTACGGACAGATGGAGGATGAAGAAATACATTCGTGACAGTTTTTTTCTTCCACAATATCTGAAAAAGAAAATTAAATGTACATAAAACAATTATTCCTCCAGATCTATTAAGATTAAAATGGGGAACACTGTACTGGCCACAAAATCCTACTTAATAAACCTTTGTGAATAACTATGCAGGCCTACCTGAATATTTTTAAAATTAGGTCATGATAGATGAGATAAGATATCTAGATGGGATAACAGAAAGTTAAAATTAATGGAATTTCTTTTTAGAGAACATTACTGTCAAAAATTTATACGATCTTATTTTTCGCTGACTCTTTTTTCTGATATTACTCGTCGTTAAATTTACTGCTTCTGCTAAATCCTTTACAAAAAATATCATACTTTTATTGCTACTTTTTGTCGTTTAGTTTACTCGTAAACATATATCTCCACTTCCACTTCTTTTTTGCTTTTACGATGATACATTTTTCTAAATGACAGAGTTTTCTTTAAAAAAATCTTACGTTTATAACTTTCAAATCATCATAAGATGAACGTTAAAGGGTCATAAATTTATTCTTTTTTATACGAAAAAAATGGAATGGCTGTTTTGTCAAATCGAGATAATATTAATATGGGTTAGTCTTAGAATGTTATTACTACATTTGATGATAAACTATATTCTATCGGCAAGCGAAGTCTCGGTTAGGGGGTTACAGTCTAAAAGTGAATCGCTATGGCGATCTAGTAAGTCGAAGAGAGAAAAATGCGAAGTATTTATTACATATCCATTTAATCCGATGCTAGATTTCATAGCTTCGGAATATACTTGCTCTTATTTCTTTATTCAAAACATCTTATTGTACTGAACATATTGACCGTACCCTTCGTAAACACGACATTCGGCATCCAAGGCCAGAAATGCAGATCCGGTATATATTCGGTATCCTTTGGATAGTCGTTTGGTTCATACAATATTTTACTTTGAAGATTTATCTTCCAGTAGCGAAAATCCCAGACTTTTTACAAGATATGTCTATTTTACATATCTTCTTCTTCTTCTTCTTCTTCTTTTAGAAGGCGTATCGCCTGTTTAGTTCCGGTTTCCTCCTCGTCTAAGCAACTCTTGCGAGGTTGACTGCCAACTATCTTGCCAACGTTTAGGTGGTCGTCCAGTAGGTCTTCTGCCATGGGGTACGTTGTTGCGAATTATTATGGCCATTCTGTCGGGGCCCATTCTGTGTCCGCACCATATGTCATCACTGGTCGTATGCAGGTTTTGTATATTCTTGACTTACATTCTGTACTCAAATGTTTGTTTTTCCATATGGGATATTTAAGATGTCCTGATATTGCGGCAGCTTTATTGGCTTATTTCCTTACTTCTTCTTCCAGGAATCCTGAGCTTGTAATTTTGCATCCGAGGTACTCGAATGACATTATCTGATCAATAGTTTTGTTTTTTATTACCAATTTGCACCGTAGAGGCTCCTTTGTAATGGTCATGCATTTGGTCTTATTTGTGGAAATTTGCATGTTAAGTTTTTCTGCCTGTCTGTTTAAAGCTTGTAGCATTCTTTGGAGGTCGTCCTCTGACTCTGCAATAAGTACTGCGTCATCGGCATAGCATAATATGTTTACTTTATGCATTCCCATTCGATATCCTAATCCAGTATTCTTGACGGTTTTTATTACTTGATCCATGATTGTGTTGAATAACAGAGGGCTGAGGCTGTCGCCTTGGCGAATACCAGTTGTAGTTCGAAGATGCTGCGTTAAGGTAAAATTTGTTCTTATTTGGGTTGTTGTGTTTATGTTTAAGTCCTTGATAAGTTCTGTGAGTTCTTTCGAGACATTACTGCTTTCCAAGATGGTGATGATGTCTTTTAGTTGGACTCTATCAAAGGCCTTTGTTAAATCTATAAAACATAGGCTAGAGAGTTATATTCTAAGGATTTTTCAACTAGTTGCTTGAGTATGAATAGTGCATCGGTAGTTGATCGGTTTCTTCGGAATCCTTGTTGTTCCTCGCTTATTGGCACTATTGAGGAGATTTTGTCCGTAATGATCTTAGTCAGAAGTTTTAGCGAAAACTAATGTAAACCAGTAATGTTATTCCTCTATAGTTTGCTGGGTCTGTTTTATCTCCCTTTTTAAAAATGGGTATTGTTATACTTTGTTTCCATTCTTCTGGTATTTTCTTATGTTGTAATATAATGTTTGTGTATCAGTTTGTGTATTCTTCTATGAGTTTTGTGTATTCTTCTATGACAGCCGTGCCTGCGTTTTTTATTAGCTCGTTTGGTATTTTATCTTGATTAGGAGATTTTCTATTTTTAAGTTTCCTTATTGTCTCTTCTACTTGCTTGTAAGTGATTTGCGCATAATCTTCTGTATTATCTCTTTGGCTTGTCTCTTGTGCTTCCATTGGATCATCTGTTTCTGCGTATAAGTCTCTGAAATATTTTTCCCACATTGTTTCATTTGTTTCTCGTTTCAAACCCCTCAACATCTTCCAAATACGTTTTTGTGCTCCGTACATATCCGCCTCCATTTCGCTACTAAATCGCTGACAATATTCTTCTTTAATTTCTCGTACTCTATTATTAGTCCTGTTCCTTATTTCGGTATAGATATTGAGGCTGTCGCCTGGGCGAATACCAGTAGTATTGTATTGTAAGTATTTTTCCTTCTTTTCCCTTGTAATGTTCTTGACTTCTAATGTAAACCAAGGTTTAATGTTCGGCCTTCTATTGTGTGATACAGTACGTGTTCCTAAAGCTTCTTTAGCACCTTTGCAGATGTTTTCTTTCAGTTTGTTCCAAGCTGTGTTAGGAGTATCAAACTGTACTATGGGGTTACAGAATTCGGTCAAAATGTGTTTGGCATCTGTTTGAATAAAGTTGTTTAGTGCTTTCGTGGTTGAGGGATTCTATATTTATTATCTTTTCATGTCTTGGTATTTTGTCTATCGCTGACTGTAGATTTTCGTAGAAGTCCATTGACATTTCTTCAGGTTTATTAATGTCGGGTGCGTACACTGATATAATGTGAATGGGTTGATCAAACATAATCTTTACTCTCAGGATTCTGTCGCACACGTATTCTATGCTTTCTATATTCTGTTCATATTTATCATTTATAGCTACTCCAACGCCTGATGTTGGTCTTTTGGTACGCCTGAGTATATTAAAATGTAGTTATTTAGTTTTGTTGTTCCTTTTCCTTTCTTTTTTGTTATTTTACATATTTATGGTAGTAATTATCAGTAATTTCAGCTTTAGACAGAGTAGAGATTGAACTAAAATTTGATTTCTACAAACTACAGTGACATAGTTTCATTATTGTGAGTTTTCAAACAATTACTGTGAATATTATTTTTAATTTTCTAATGGAAGCATGAGACTGTGCAGAAAGAAAGAATAATCAAATTTAACAGAGTAGGAAAAAAAAGAATGTATTATAATGTAATCATATATTTTCGTTTTATACCTATGCTGTTAGAAAAAATAGAACTCTCTCTCGTAGAACTGAAGCGAGTGAGTTCTTAAAATAAAATACTAAAATAGGTTTCCGAAAAATTCGAATTTCAAAACAATTAGCTAATGTATCGTGAAAGGGTTAGGGCTTAGAGAAAATGGCCATTGACGTATAAAAGTCAATTAGGGGGATTTCTAAGCAAAAATTACCGTTAAAAACTTCTGTCAATAAAACTCTTGTATTATCAATAATAAATAAAGGTCTGCTAGCTTTGTTTTCTATTTATAACTTTGTTTGGTGTAGTTATCATATAATGAATTAATAAGAAATGACTTAATAGCCAAAATGTACAGGGTGTTCCATTTTCGTTTGTCTTGCAGGGTTTTTCGTTTCTAGAGATTTAAAGATGCGGTTGTCGAAAAATGTAAAGAGGTCATGCAAATCGCAAAAAACATAAAATCCAAGATGGCGGACCCTTTCCATATCATAAATGGGCAAGACAGCAATTTTGTCATCTGCCTGTCAAATAGAAACAGTTATATGCAAACATAGGCAGTCTTCTTTGCAGCCATCGGCAATCGACTTTAAAAAATGTTTTCGAATCTGCCAGAAAGCAAGTCTGAATCAGGAGAACAACTTTAATAAACATGCTGCATTTTTTGAGGTTATAGTTAAGAATTGTTTATTTTAAGACTTTTTAGTTCGTTTAATTTAATAATTACTAAAACCAGCAGTTCCAAAAATATATTTAAAAATAATAATTATCTATTAACATGGATTTGGACGATAATAGGTAAAAATACTAAATTTATTTCTATATTCGGTATAAAATTGTTTATTAGGTTTTTAGTTTGCGATGTTTATGGTAAATAATTTTTTCATTTTTATTGCCTCTGAATTCACATGAGGACAGAGATGAGGATATCTATGGAAAAGTAACCACAAGAGGAATTGTTACATCATTGGAAAAAATGTTGGAAAGTTTATTGTTTCCCATCGAAAAGTAGAAAATGCCAATGCAGATGAACGTATTGTATTAAATTGTGATAAAGTAATTTCCAAGGGTGAAGTTTATTATAATTAGTGGAAGTAATACCAAGGGTGAAGTTTATTATAATTAGTGACCTGTGCTTCTTTTATATGTAGAGAATAAATCGGTTTAACGACACCCAAAATTTAAAGGAAGTATTTGCATACTTGTCATGCCCATCAAGGGTTTATATAGCTCAAATTTCCTTTAATGGTAGGCAATTATTCAATGCAAATTAATTTTTTAAGTGACTGAAATATTAAATAGTTTACAATATGGTATATCACTAAAAATATATTACTTTTAGGTACAATTAGAGGCCCGATACATTAAAAAAAAGAACATTATTTTATATTAAATGAGCCCTATTGTACTAACAATCAATTTATATTAATAACGGAGATTAAAAAATATCAGAATAAATAGTTCTTTTTTTTTATCTACTAAAATAAACCATAGAATACAACAGTATTTAAAAAATAAATAAAAGTGATGTTCCGGCCGAGATTCGAACTCCGGTCTCTCGCTTCCTAGCCCGACTCCTTATGCACTGCTCCACA